ACTCGTGCTCTCGAAAATCTTGTCAAAATTAGAACAACAGGAGAAGGTGTTCAAAGCATTCGATATGCGGTTGGGTGCTCTAGAGTATAATATGCAGTTTTTAGACTATGACTAATCACTTAAAACTTATTTTATGGAACACAAATGTCCAAACCAAACAATAGAACTAGAAATATTGCTTAATAATGAAAAAATTGATATTGCCTTAATCGCTGAGACTCATTTTACGAAACAATCTTATATCAACTTTAAACACTACTCTCTATACCACACCACTCACCCGGATAATTGTGCAAGGGATGGCAGCGCTGTAATAATAAGAAATGCCATCAAGCATCACTTAAATGAATAAATCAGCACGCAGGAATTTCAAGCTACATCCGTTTCCGTCGAAACATTGAAACAACCTCTGACTTTAATTGCTTTGTAAAGCCCACCAAGATGCTAGCTAAAATGCGAAGATTATTTGGCCCTTCTATATTGGAGGCCACTTTAACGCAAAACATACATCATGGGGTTTAAGACTTATCACAGCAAAAAGACGAGAATTATTTAAAGCTATGCAGCGCAGTGGTTGTAATTCAATTTCAACTGGTGAGTCAACATACTGGCCGTCGGATACCAACAAAATTCCGCACTTGATTGACTTCTTTGCCTATAAAAATGTCCCTACTGCTCTTTTAGCTATCACCAAAGGTTTTGACCTGAGCTCCGACCATTCACTAGTGCAGCTAATAATATCGCAAGATGCAGAACAAATCCAAAGCTCACAAAAGTTGGTGAATTCTCTCACCGACTGGAAGTACTTTCAGACGCAACTGCAACTACTAATTACATATAATAACGTCACTACCAGTGAACAGCTCGATAATGCAGTACTTGAGTTTACTCAACAACTTAATGTAATGTAACCTAATTGACGTAGGTCATGGGCACAACAGTTTTTTATTTCAGCACATTTCGGTTTTTAACTCTTCTCGTACAATGCTTAACTATAACTGACTCGTTTCATACCATATGTCAAAACTATATGTCACTTTTAATTTAGCGTTACCATAGTTCGGCCATCCTGACCCATAATCGTCCCGATTGAACCTTTTCGATAAGAATTTCCAATCCATGGCTTAATATTTGCCGCTTCCCATACCCCCTCATAAGGTATCTGACTAACTTGGAATCCATCTACATCCTTTACTAGATATCGATCATTAAGTAGAACTTTAGTAATCCTATAGGGTCCTTTATATTTTGGCAAAATCTTTCTACTGACGCCTACCTCACTCACAAAATTTTTCACTACTACATATTCTCCTACTTTGTATGTTTCCTGAATTCTATGGCGGTCTTTAAGCGATTTATTGTAATTTTGATTTTTTACAATTTGATCTTAAGCCTCTTTTCTCACTTGCCTAAGATATTTCTAAACGTCACCAGACGTTAACTCGTCTAAATTCTCTTTCAAATAGTCCACAACCATTCCCTTTTGTCTAATTCCAAATAATAATTCATTCTGTGTTATTGCAGTACTTCTATGAATCGTATTATTAAAAGCGAACTCTATATCAGGCATAATTTTATCTAGCGAAACTGTATAACCTGAGTTAGTCATTTTAGCAATCATTGGTGCTAAACTCCGATTTATTCTCTCTACTTGGCCATTCGCTTGTGGCGAACATGTGGCGATTTTTATATGTCGAATATTACAGCATGTAAGAAAATCTTCAAAGTCTTTTGATGTAAATGCACTCCCTCGATCGGAAATAATAATATTTGGTCTACTACACGAATTAAAATATGATTTTAAACATCCTAAAACTTCTCATGTGCTAGTTGTTCGCGTAGCACACAATTTAACAAACTTAGAAAAAGCATCTACTACCAAGAATACATATTTCTTTTTAGAGTTTTTGATTGTAACTGAACCAAAATGGTCAATGTGGACAGTTTCAGAAGGGACTAAGCCCTTTGGAATATTGTGTAAATACCCTTCGTGCTTTCCACACTTTGCTGAAAAAGTTATGCGCTTTAGACAAATGCGCTTTAGACAAATCTTTTATTTTTGTTCTGAGTTTCGGAAACCAATAAGATTTAAGTATAGAATCAACAACTTTATCGCATCCGAAATATCCCATATCATCATTA